TTAAGCTTCGCTTACTTTTCGCTTGCTGGCCAGCGTTTGATAAGGTCCGAGGTCTGAAAGAGTAACTGCTCTTCTGATTTCCCAGCTCCAAAACAGTAGCCAGATGGTACCTGGGAGCCTTCTCACCCCACTGTCCAAGGATGGCTATGGGGTGCACCCCAATGCCATCAAATGGACAACTGAATACCTTCTTCTGCATCTCTCTCTCTCTCTCACACACACACACACGCACACACACACCAGAGAAAGAGAGAGGCAGAGAGAAAGGCACCTAAATATTTCACCATCAGAATTCCAGACAATGTTTCCTGTCTTACTGGCAATCAGTTTCGTTGTTAAGCCAACTTAAAATTGATGTGTGATTTTTTTAATTTACTGCAGAGTTTTGTTTTTTACATTTAAAACATAAAATACAAAAAAAGACACTAAGGGCCTAAGCAGACTGCCAGAAATAGTGCACATTAAATTGAGGCACTGCCCTGGCTCAGTGCTAGGGAGTCATGGGAATTGTATTTTTTTCTGAGATATTGAGCCTTCTCTGTCAGAGAGCTCTGGTGCCACAATAAATTACAGTTCCCATGATTCCCTAGCACCAAGCCAGGGCAGTGCCTCAATTTAATGTGCACTATTTCTGGCAGTCTGCTTAGGCCCTAAATATACAAAAGTACCAAAAACCCACATAAAACCAGCACATACAAACTCAATAATATATAAAACAACAAATAAACCAAAATATCTAATCTAAAAAACAAATTTGAATTTATTGTGTTGCTGGAGGATTCAGTATTTTTAATTGCAAGATTCTTTGGAGAGGCTGCTTCAAAGACAGCTAATAATGAATGAATGAGTTTTGCAGACTGCCAGAAATAGTGCAAATTGAGTCCACTTTAAGGGTTAGGGTTAGGGCTAGGGTTAGGGAATCATGGGAAGTGTATTTTATTGTGGCACCAGAGCTCTCTGACAGAGGACGCTCAATGTCTGAGAAAAAAAACAATTCCCATGATTCCCTAGCACTAACCCTAACCCTTAAAGTGGACTCAATTTGCACTATTTCTGGCAGTCTGCAAAGGCCCTAAACCTCTGATGATTCCAGCACAAAGGCCAGGATCCAACAGCACTGTTCCTTTGACAGAACAGCTTCTGTCAGCAGAACATCTGCAGACTTCCATATGATTCCAAAATCTTCTCTATAGGGCTGGGAAGCCCACCAGAGAAGGATGTGGGGCATAATGGAGGGTTGCATGGAGAGGAAAATCCTTTTGTAGCAACCAGGGAAACAAAATGCAACTTTCTAGATGTTGTTGTATTAGACTGCAACTTTTGAGTATTGTTTATACTGGCTAAGGCTGATGCGAGTTGCAGTCCAGGAACACATACACACCCCTCCTCTAGTGCAACACTGGATTTAGACCAATATGTCACAGTAACTAAGAAGTACATTTTTAAAGTAAAATAGCCAGTACAAGGACTGAAGCCTTCAACATTTGATTAATTCAATAAAGCAAAGACATTTCTTTTTCTGCTTTGATAAATTACACTTTGCAGAGGATTGGCAGCCAGCAGATCTCTAAAAAGTTGTAGTCTGTTCATTGCTTTATTGTCAATGATTTCTTTATTTTTTTTAAAAAAAAGCCTCTGCTCTTCTGTCTCCAAATAAATGTATATCTTTCATGTTGAATGGAATGCAAGGCATCTGCCTCCTGAGATCACAGTTAAGTAACTTGAACAAACTCTCAAGGATGTTTTACCACTGGATATGTATAGATCAGTGCAGATGTGATCCAACCTAGCAACAACATGTATGTTTAAACTGACTAACAATGATCAGGTAAAAATTTAGGAAATCTTTAGAGAAAAGAGGAATCTCATATGAATGAACTTTTGCATGAGTATGTATAAAATTCCTTAATTATTTCTGTATTATTAAATTGTATCATCATATTTCCTATATAAACATCACTGTGTGGAACAAGTCACATATTGTAAAAGATAGGTTGGTTGGTTTTAAAGTAGAAACAAAAATGGAAAACACTGTATTTTTACGTGTATTTTAAAATATATATATATATCAGCCCCCTTTCTGGACCAAGGCCATTCAAAGAGGTGAAAAAAGACAAATATAAGAGCAGAAAAATATAAAATTATAATAAAACCAAAGAAAAAAATCAGGCTTAAAAATAAATTTAAAAAGCCAGTTCATTATAATATAATTGAGCCAGTGGAAAAACCATTTCCAGACTCACAAAATAGCTTGGACTTCAATAAGTATGAAAGTGGTGAACAGAGTTTCAGAAGTTAACACGAAGTAGTGGGAGGATCAGGTATTACATAGAAATTCTGAAGAGAATAAAAAAGACAAGCACAGAGGGGACATGTTGCTGTACCACCACCACCACCCCCATTTGTCTGAATAGTGAAAAGTTTCAAGAATGCAGCACTTTATGCTTGGTTACTTTGGATGAAGTTCTCTGTGGCCTTATTAACATTTTGTAATATTTCTGTTTACCAATATGGAGGCTGGACATAGGAAGAAGCACCAGTGGCATCACTAAGGGGTGTGAAGAGTATGGACCACTTTGGGTGACACCTTAAGAAAAGTAACACCACTGCCCCTCAAACATCTGCATTTTGGCAGAAATGGACTGCAGCATTTACCTGAATAAAATGCTGAAGCAATGGCGGGAGTGGGGGGAGGCTTAGTGGGAGGAGAAAAACAGGCCCCAGTTCTTAATTTTTTTTTTAAATTTTTTAAAAAATATATTTAAAAACATCACATTTCCCCAAATTTTCACTTTAACCACATGAAACTATATAAATGCATTTAGCCTGTACATATGATATTGTAATTTAAAGGTTTAATTTTGCTAGTTGTTTAGAAAGTCAGTGTGGCATAGTAGCTTGAGTGCTGGACTGCAGCTTTGGAGACCTGGGTTCAATTCCCAGCTTGGCCATGAAAGTGACAGGGTGATGCTGGGTCAGTTGCTTTCATCCTCAGGGAAAGACAATGACAAACCTCCTCTGAACGAATCTTGCCAAGAAAGATCCCTTAGGGTCACCATAAGTTGGAAACGACTTGAAGGCACATGACAACAAACAAACAAAGTTGTTTATGGTTATGAATGTATTACCATTACAGTCAGTAATATACAGGAATTGTGATTAATGAGTAACATTAGTACAAAAAACATTACTAAGGATTCTGTATAGTGTGGTAGGGGAGGAGGTCAATGAGGGGGGGTGACACTACTGAGAAGCACAGCTTAAAAACTCCAACAGAGTTCATTCCTCCTAGGTAAGTTATCCAGGACAGAAACAATTAACACACTAAGATTGTCACAGAGCCCACCCTCCCATCCTTTTCTCCTCTCTCTGTCCTTTGTCTCTGCTCCAAACCCAAATCAAAAATTCATTTTTTTTTATTTTCATGTTTTGATGCACTTGACTGCCATCACCACCACACATCAGAAGAAATTTGCATGAGTCTTCTATTTTGACCATTACCAAGACTGGATAGTTCTCCTAGTATGGTGGCCAGAGTGAAAACTGGAGAAAATATGAATGTGTACAAGATTGAACTTCAGTAGGTGTTGCTTCTTGCCTGATTGCCTGACATGTAACACCTGCTGGAACTCTCTCTTCTAGATGTCCATTAAAGATATAGGAATGCTCTCCAGTTTTCAGTTTGCCAACCCTATCGTCTAGAAATATTTCACATGGACATCACAGCTATGAACATTCTTTGGTCCAGGAAAGCAACCCACATTGATCGTTCAACAGACAGAAAACTGATTTTTTTAAAACCAATGCAGCATTATTCAAGGCTGTAAAAGCAAGAAATAAGAATATTAATTGAATATGAAGGATAAATAAGAAGAAGCATATTAGGGGCACATCTGAAAGAATCATTAAGAAATGGAAAAAGCAGACATTTAAAGCAGAACTATTCAGAAATCAAGGGCATGTGATCCTCAAGAGGATCAATGATTTCAGACAGTTATGGACCTTGCAAGGAAGACTTTATAATGGAACTGGAATGTTAATCCTGGAGATACTCCATCTAAAGAATGACTCTGAACATCTTGCAGTTGTAACCTGAGAAGATAAATCAGACCTCACAGAAGGGGAATTGTTTTATAGACCAGCTGGCTCAGCGTGACTTCAAAAGATGAGAGTAATGAGCCAGCATATGAAAGGCTTGTGAGAGCATCCATAAACTATGATGAGTGGTTTATGCCTTGATCCCTAAATTCTCTTCCCTAAAGGCCAATTCACATGACCTTTCTCTCTATGTACCATTTGCAGTTACTTGGAAATCAGTCTAGAAGTAAGGAAGCCTGCTATAGCAGAGTACTGG